ATTTGAAGTGACTGATCCTCGACGAATCTTAGAACCATAAAAGTCAAGATCGATCTTAAGATACAGATCTGAAGATCGATCTCAAGATCTTCACCAATGTGGCGCTCAAACGAGGATACAAAGTGTGTACGAACGGTAACAAATTCCTCCCGATAGCAACACTTTCACCGGCGAATTTTATATAATCCTTTAATTTTGCACGACCTATTACAACGTTCGCACGTTATCAAGGGTGGCGAAATGCGTCAACGAGTTTCGTCCGCGAACTTTCTACCGACTCTTCGAGACACATTCAGGTATTCCGTAAAATGATAAAGAGGTGGTTCAAGCACAGTTTCCAAATGTGCCATTGAGGCACACGGGGATATCTGTCAATTGCAAGCCCCGTACTTATCCTATTGATAGCCAGAATTCTGTGATTTAATCGGTTGCCTAAGCACGAAAACACGCCGGGAGGTCCCTGTTGCCTGCAGATTAGGCCCTGTGCTCCTTCCCGATACGTATTTCCGAAGGAAGAGATAGGGAGGGCCAGAGGATGTCCCGTAATAATGGTCGATACACGCGAAACGCGAAAATTTCCAGACAAGGCAGATGGCGTAGCCTTTCGCGGAAGCGATCGTTCTCACTTCTTAAACGCCGCCGTTTTGCGTTTCTGCATGCTTCAGGGGCGTATATAACCCGCGGGCACCAACTCTACCTGGCCTTCCCTTCCTCCTTTTTCTACGCCCCTTTATTTCTGTCTCATTTTCTCCCCCTTTTAATTTATTCCTGTTTCTATCCCCCTTCCTGCTACTCTTTTTCTGCCTACCTTTTCGCTCGTCTCGTTTTCTGCTCATCAGGTGGTTACATCTTGCAGTTAGTCTCTTTTTTTTTCTCTTCCTTATTAGGTCGCATATGAAATGGCCGATTTAAGAATCTCGTTCTTAAATGTAGCACTGGATAGTACATATTTAATTATTCTTGTTACATCGATTTAAAGCTCGATGCTAGACCAAATTCGTCGATTATTTTATTGTTTACCTGGTAACTGGGGAAGACGAGTTAACTCGTCGTTGCTGTAACCCTATTGCGTTCTTCCTTTTGACTGTACACTTAAGACGTTCGGGTCACAAAGGCCCCTTATGTGTAATAATTTTTGTTTCCAACGCGACGTATGAGCCTAGACGATGAACGTTTATAATAATATTAAGGAACGTGAACTTGATAACAGCAAAAATTACTAAAAATATAAAAAGGCGGTGGGTCAAAAAAGACCCGAAGACCGCTCAAGGATTAAAAATACTTGGAACGCAATAGTGTTCTTCATCTTTGGTTATTCATCTTTAATTGCACTGTTACGCTTGTATTGAACATAAAATACGTCGTATTCACATTTGCAAGAACCAAAATGAAGTAAATAACAAGTTACAATTTTCGACATGTTTTCGATAAAATTTGCAGTCTTCTTAGATCTAAGCACACTTGGTCAAAAACCATAGAATGCTCACTTTCAAGAACTACTTATCTTCGTAAAAAAAGTGTACTTTTTGGGTATTCTGTGTGAGGCAGTTTCTCGAGTAACCTCCGAATCTCTATTTTCCTTTATTCTTTCAGTCTTGCATTGTTCGTCAGTCGTGCTTTTTCCTCGTTCATCCAACGTTGATTTGCCCTTCTTTCGAACTTCGTCAGCTTCTGTCTTCGGGCTCGCACGTTCCCCCTTCTACCTTGACGAGGCCGGTCCAGCATGGTGAACGTCTTCACCGATTCGCCTTTGTCTTCGGGCAGCGATCCTTCGTGAATTTCATAGTCAGCTGCACGAAATCGAGCCCCGCGGCCCCGTTTACTTTTTCTAGGATGGCCCGGCTCTATTTTTAACCGAAAAGCCGAGCGAGCCGCCGGTTCCGCGCGTGCACGCGCGATGTTCGTGCGTGTGTAGGCCGATCGTGGCTCTCGGGGACGTTTTTCGCGGATCGATCCACGGTACGAATTGGAAAACTTCCAGTTTAGTCGCAATCTTCGAAGAAGTTCTTGCAATCGTTATAAAAAATGAAGGATATTGTCACAATATTGTAACTCCTCGAACACCCGGAAATGGGGGGTTGCTGGGGTGACTCCGAACAACTTTTTCCTTTGCCAAAATGTTGTTTGAAGCTTCGTTTTTGAATTATTAACGAAAAACACTGGCCAATCGGAGCGCGCGCAGAGCTCGCGCTCAGGGACGAAGAACAGAGGCTCACCCGCGCGCGATCGAAATGCGTACGCGTTAAAAACGACCTTCGCTATTTTCTTCACGATTCCGACTAATTGCAGTTTTTTCAAAAATTACGCAAACGTCGGAATGGCGGCAAAAAGCCATTTCTCTAAGCCTTATAAAAATCAGCGGTGCAAAGTGAAATTTCTTTGACAGCGATCGATAACCGAGAAGTCGCGCGTACGCGTCGTTCACGATAGCGCGCGGGTGAATCCCCTGTTCGCCCGTCCCTGAGCGCGGGCTCTACGCGCGCTCTGATTGGCCAGTGGTTTTCGTTGATAATTCAAAAATGAAGCTTCAAACAACATTTTGGTAAAGGAAAAAGTTGTTCAGAGTCACCTCAGGAACCCCCCATTTCCGGGTGTTCGAGGAGTTACGGGACACCCTGTATGTAATTATTATACCGCGCGATTCTAGACTGAATCGTTTTCTTTTTTTTTCGTGGATCTTAATTTTTTAACGACTGTTTACATCTGCTTCACGTTCAGTATATCTGTGGAAGTTTTATTTCCGTGCAATTGACAAAAGTACTCGATATCGTAGAATTCTTTACAGATTAAGAATTTTCTAGTCTGCACCTGATGTAGAGTCAACCTGACCCACTTTACCAGTCGAACGTTGTGTCGTTATCTTTAACAAAACAGTAATGCACGTGAGAAATACAAGTTCAAGGAAAGGTGAATTAAAAATGATGCTCGGCATATTCCACGAATGTTAATGAATTTCTTTTAAATACCTCTTCCTGACAATATTCAGAGACTCGTACTTCGTCGCTGTGCGAAAAACTTTCCACTTTCAGTTTATTCCTTTCCTTTCAAGTGTAACTTAAAAAGTGTGTAACTGTCGTTCAGAAAAAGTACATTGCTTTGTAAGAAAAGTTGCACATGCGTGCAGATAGAACAGATTAAATAGTCAGAGTGAACCGGAAATCGGTCGGATTCCGTAGGATCATCCTCGCGGAAAGGTTCAGAACCGTTTAACCTTATTTTCATTTTCTCAATGTTTTGCGAAACGGTATTCTCAAAATCGTCTCTTTCCTGACAAATTCGCGAACTCAGTTTTCTGCAGAATCCTAATTTTTTTCATAAAAGTGACAAAAACACTTTTCACTTGTATAAAATCCATTTGTACGTATGTAATCGAACGAAAAGCCGTATTGAATCTGCAATTTTACCAGAGTTATCGCGATGTAACTGCTAATTTTCCTTTTTTTTTTTTTTTTTTTTAATTAAATTACTACTTGTTAATGTTTCGCTGGAAGGATCTAGATCGATAGATTTCACGTATGACAGTTTCGAGGAAACGAGAAAAATTGAAGACAGTCATGGTCAATCCATATTCGCGTTAGTTTCTAGAATTTAATGATCGGTTTCGCATGGCCCTAGGAAATTGGGAAC